AAAAAAAATCATTTTTAAAGCCACCAAGGCAGGACATGAACATATGCAGGTCACAGGTCACCGTGGCTCCAGGCACAAATCCTGCACTCTGTCCTTGGATATGAATGTGTACCTGTACAGGAGTGAGTGTGATGGTAGTGGTGGTCAGATTTTTAGGAGAAACAGGAGGGGCTACACCAGGTTCTCCACTCCGGGCAGAAGCTGCTGCGAAGGGGGCACAGATTCGGACATGTTCTGCTGCTGCGCCAGCTGCAAGACGGGCATGTTGCACAGCGGGCAAACCTTCCTCACCTCCAGCCATTTAATAAGGCACCTGAGAGAGATACAAAGATAATTTAGAAAATGAAAGGCCAGCTGGATAATAATCTGCCCAAAATTTCCCAGATCACAGTAGAGTATCCCACTACAAAGAGACACTGCTAACCCAAACTACCAATAATGCTACTGATAACAAGTCTAAAGTGAGCTCATATGATGTCTCAGGGCTGGTTATGTGTCTTCTCTTCCCATGTGGAATGTGAGAATGAATCTTGGGTTAGTCTGAGTGGGATGTTGCTATCTCTGCACTGAGGAATAATTCACTGTAAGCACAGTTCTATTTTAAGCCGTGTTGGTCCCATTAGGTGCACAAACAGATCTATGATACAGAAGTCCTCATTTAACCACTGACACAGTTGGGATGTAGGAGCCTTTAGGGTTCTTTTTAGGAGTTTTATCATTTGATTACAAATACAAATGTATTAATTAAATAATTAACTACTATCATTTTACCAGTTTACCATTTAATATATGACTTCACTTCAATGACCCATTTAAGCTAAAAATTGGCTGGATTCCCATAGAAGCAAACTATAATGTTGAGATGTTTATAAAGAACAGAGTTCCCCACCCCTTTGATAAGAGTCCAAGCACTGCTCTGACATTTACTTTGGCATTTACTCTGATATACAACCCAAATGTTTTACAAAGTGGCGAAAGAGAAGATTGGTGAGTCAGACACATTTCAACTAGATCAGGGGTAGGCAAGTTCGGTCCTAGAGAGCTGCAGTCCT